TAAACCCTAAACCCTAAACCCTAAACCCTAAACCCTTAAGCCCATGTCCACGCAGCATCCGGGATCGCCACCCCCCCTGCAGTAGCTGGGCCCACGCTCCTGGGCAGCCTTGAAGCCCCGAGCCGAAAACCCTAAGTCCTGAGTCCTAAGCCCTCTAAGTCCTAAAGTCCTAAGTCCGAAGTCCAGTCCTGAGTCCTAGGTTTAGGGTTTAGGGTTTAGGGTTTAGGGCTTAGGGTTTAGGGTTTAGGGTTTAGGGTTTAGGGTTTAGGGTCCCGGCCCCCGACCCCCGAGTCCTAAGGCCTAAGCCCGTGGCCCTCGGCCCTAAACCCTGAACCCCAGACCCTAAGCAAAGATGCCAGCATCCCAACATGTCTTGCAACCCTAAACCCTAAACCCTAAACCCTAAACCCTAAACCCTAAACCCTAAGCCCTAAGCCCTAAACCCTAAACCCTAAACCATCCTAAACCCTAAACCCTAAGCCCTCAGCCCTAAACCCTAAACCCCAAGGCACCGGCATAAAGCTTCCGTAGCAAGGGCACCGCCCAACTTGGAGTTTTTGGGAGGATGAGGGCTCATTTGCTACCCAGACCCGCGGTGGAGGACCCAAAGAGTCGAACCCCCCATAAACCCTAAACCCTAAACCCTAAACCCTAAACCCTAAACCCTAAACCCTAAACCCTAAACCCTAAACCCTAAACCCTAAACCCTAAACCCTAAACCCTAAACCCTAAACCCTAAACCGTAAACCCTAAACCCAAAACCCTAAACCCTAACCCCTAGTACTACTATCAAGTTTCCAGTACTACGATTGGGCCATTCTTAGGAACCCTTGAGAGGATCTACTTTTTGGATCCTCCCAGGGTAGAGGCCCACAGAACGTCAAACTTGGTTTAAGTTCCTCAGCAGCCCCGAGAAGCCAGGAGAGGATGCGAAGAAAAGTTCAACCAGAGGCCAGCTTGTGGGAGTTTAGGGTTTAGGGTTTAGGGCGTAGGGTTACGAGTAGGGTTTCAAGTCATGGGGCTGCGGGTTGAATGCAGGCTACGGTAGCATGTAGGGTTAGGGCGCAACGGTCTTGGAGTGCACACAATGCGACCTGGCTGTTGCAACTGCATGACAGGGTTCTGTTGGCTGCGGTGTAGTGGCTCCGGTGCCTTGGAGCCCTGAGCTACATTGCTACACCTAGTTAGGTGTTCACTGCCGCGTATTTCGTTGTAGCTGCTAGTTACTTGCAGCGGTTGGTGTTTTTTTTTATTACTGCCTCTCTGTTACTATGGAAAATCTTACTACGCACTGCCAGGGTGATTCTCACCAGAATCACCAGTGTTAGGGTTTAGGGTTTAGGGTTTAGGGGTTAGGGGTTTAGGGTTTAGGGTCTTGTTGGTGCAATTGTGGCTGCTGCATCACGGTCCTCATTCGTTGTATTTTGGTGCGACTCTCCTGACCAACCTAACCGTATGAAACAGAGAAGTCCCAACTCACCAGGCTGGGGTAGTTTGGGGTTAGGGTTCAGGGTTAAGGGTTAAGGGTTTAGGGTTTAGGGTTTAGGGTTTAGAGTTTAGGGTCTAGGGTCGATAGGGTCTAGCCTAGGGTCTACAGTTCAGGGTTTAGAGGCAAGCGGAGACGAGGTCCCCCAGAACTTTATTGCGCCAATAGTTGAGCTTTGAACTTTCTAAGGCTTCCTTATTCAATCGGAACGGAAATGCTTAACCTTTGTTGGTCCTTGTTTCTTGGAGAAGTCAGGAACCGAACGCCTAGCTCGTGTTCCAGGAACACGCCGGTTGTTTTCCAGGAGCCCTCCCGCTTTCCGCCCCCTGTCCCCCCCCCGCCACCCCCCCATGTTGCTCCTTTCCTTCTCTTGGGGGTTAGAGGCCTCCTTTTTTCGCCGTATGAAGAAGGTTCGCTAAGCCTTAAACTCTCAACCCTAAACCCTAAACCCAAAACGTTAAACCCTAAATCCTAAATCCGAAGCCCTAAACCCGAAACCCTAAACCCTAAACCCTAAACCCGGGGAGATGTAGAGTTGTTAGAGTTTGTGACTGAACTCCCTGGAACCCACCCCTTGGACGAGGCGCAGTTGTCCGGGACGCCTGCGCCTTAAGGGGGGGGGGTCGGCCTCAAAGGGCCTAGGGCCTTTAGGAATTCGGGCTCAGGGTTTAGGGTTTAGGGTCGGGTTTAGGGTTGAGGGTTTAGGGTAGGGCTGAGGGTTTAGGGTTTAGGGTTTAGGGTTTAGGGTTTAGGGTTTGCGGTAGGGGGCGTCAGTGCCACCCAAATCTTGAGGAGATTGGAGGAAGGGCTAAGGGGCCACGAACGCCCAGTCGCAGGCCCCAGTGAGAACAGGAGACTTCGCCGCCAGCCCGGAGCTCCTCCCCCCCCCCCCCCCCCCCCCCCAAACTCTGAACCCGAAACCCGAAACCCTAAACCCCAAACCTCAAACCCCTCACCCAAGCCTTAAACCCCAAAAACCCACACCCGAAGCACTGGATCTGTAGCGCTCCGTCTCGAGGCCCCCTCCGGTGCGGAAGTCGCAGGAGTTCCCTCGCGTGGTAGGGTTTAGGGTCTAGGGTCTAGGGTCTAGGGTTTAGGGTTTAGGGTCTTTTGGCTTTCAGGGTTTATCGGGTTTATAGGGTTCATAGGGTTATGCAGTTTATAGGGTTTATAGGGCTTATAGGGTTTAAGATTTAGCCGGTTTAGGGTTAGATGGCTCATGGTTTTAGAGCGAGGTTCTGGGGTTCACAGGGTTGAGGGTTTAGAGGGTCTCCTGCAGGCAGTTTTGGGCTTGGTTGCGGGTCTTCCACGGGCTCAAGTCCACACACTTTCAGATCCTCCAACTTCCAAAGACCAAACTTTAGGCTTTAGGGTTTAGGGTTTTGGGTTTAGGGTGTAGGAGAGCCTGACTAGCCCCCAGAGCCCTGATTTTGGAGTCCCCAAAGCAGCGCCACCTGTCCATTCCAGCTTACTTGTTCGGGGGCGGGATATTGGTTGCTTCTCTGCCGCTGTTATGAGCTTTCTAAGTTGCCATCATTATCACTCGTACCCTTGTCACGAAGAGAAGTTGTGTCATGATGAGACCCGAAGACCTCATGAGTTGGGAAAAGCAACAGGGTTAAGGGGCTCTTTGGGGTTAAAACTAAGCTCACTCTCAACCCTAAACACAAAACCCTAAACCCTAAACCCTAAACCTTAAAACCCTAAACCCCAAACCCAAAAACCCTCCGAGACTGCGCGCTGGCTCAGGTTTCAGGGATCAGCCCCAACACCCTCAAGCCCACCACGGCCCTCTGCTAAACCCGAAGCCCGAAACCCCTTAGCCCTAAACCCTCAATTTTAAGCAAGCCCTACGCCCATAAACCCCCCTGAGCCCTAAACCTTCTTGTTTAAGCAAACCCGAAGCCCGCCCTGGAGCCATGAAGGGGCATGGTCAGCAAATGCCCCAGTGCGTAAGCCGGGAGACGACGTAGGGTTTAGGGTTTGGGGTCTAGGGTTTGGGGTTGAGGGTTTAGGGTTCCGGGATTAGGGTTTAGGGTTCCGGGATGAGGGTTTCGTCATAAACTACCCACGAAGTTTCATGTAAGCCCCGAATTAGGCCCTGCGCAACCCTAAACCCTAAACCCTAAACCCTAAACCCTAAACCCTAAACCCTAAACCCTAAACCCTAAACCCTAAACCCTAAACCCTAAACCCTAATTAAACAACAGCTTTTTTGCTAGGGAGCTGCTGCCAGACCCAGCACTTAGGGTTAAGGTCAAGGAGCTCATGGAGGGACCTGTATCAGGGACCTTGAGGGGGTTCTTTGGGGCTTCTTTAGGGGCTACTTAGGTATATAGGTAGTGTTTATGGTATATCTATAAATACATAAATAAATAAATATATATATATATATATATATATATAAGGGTTATATAAGGGTTATATAAGGGAATGGCATTAGGGTTCCTTCTAGGGGTCCCACCTTATACCCCTTAAGTTAAGGGCTCCAGTGGAAGCACGCTCTACTGTACCGGGGTATATAATCTTCTCACACCATCCTCCTCAAGCGCGGGGGAGATCCCCAGAGTTGACCAAGGACTTTGGGTTCAGGGTTTAGGGTTTAGGGTTCAGTTTTCTAGAGCAACTACAGGTGAATACAAAAACAAAACAGACAAAACCCCTAACACCTTTCCAGAAGCTTGGGGGCTTTGGGGCTGAGGGTACCCCTTATAGAAGCCTTCTATAAGGTATTTACCTAGGAGCTCCTCTCCTCAACAGTCCGAAGCCGGGTTCTTGTTCAAGAGCCTGAATTCAAGAATTGCCATAGCAAGTGTCCTGTCTTCTGTGTGTTATGATAAGAAAGGACCAAAGGACCTAAGTTCAGTTAACATAACGTGGGTACTTTCCTCTGTGCATTTTTCGGCCCACTATGGGAACCTACTGTAAGCTCCTTAGCAAGAGCCTAGTATAAGATGGGCTTAAGCTCACGATGGACGAACTGACTGCTTCAGCCTAGGTCAGCATTGGTCTGCGTTAGGACAGGACGTAAGTGTAGCCGAGGATGGAAGGGTGCAGGGTTTAGGGTTTAGGGTTTAGGGTTTAGGATTTAGGGTTTAGGGTTTAGGGTTTAGGGTTTAGGGTTGCCGGCTGAAGAACGTTTATGCAGAACGCGGGGGGCACGTCGCAGCGGGACGCAGGGCATCTCCGCTCGCAGGCGAGGGTTCAAGGGCGTTTCCGAGACAAATCCAAATCCCGAAAGACCCGCAAAGCTGAGCAGGGGAGAGAAGATCTCATGACGACCTCGCGAATCCTTACTCAGAGCCTCGGAGTTTTTTAGACCCAATGCAAGTGTCAGTCTTTACCACGCCGAGTGAGAGTGAGAGTGAGAGAGAGAGAGAGAGAGAGAGAGAGAGAGATAGAGAGCGAGAGAGCGCATCGCGTCACAGGATTTGGGGGTGTAAGTCTAGGGTTGGTTTAAAAGCTCAGGTTTTAAGGGCTTAGAGTTTCGAGTTTAGTGTGGGGATTGGCTGCGATGGCAGCGTCCGAAGGGGCCAGGCGCCTTCGGCTTAACATCTCCGCGCAGCTCGGTGACCAGGCTCCTCGTTCTAGGGTCTCAAGCTTAGGCTCAGCTTTGTTATTGCTCGTAAAAAAAGACGGCCCTAGGCCCTAGGCCCTAAGCCCTAAGCCCTAAACCCTAAACCCTACACCCTAAGCCCTACGCCCTAAGCCCTAAACCCAAAACCCAAAACCCTAAACCCTACACCCTACACCCTAAACCCTAAACCCTAAACCCTAAACCCTAAACCCTAAGCCCTAAACCCTAAACCCTAAACCCCTTAAGAACACTATCATGTAGCCGAAGCTGCCGGCAAGATCATCTCCAAGTTCCTCATCATCGTGGATGATGAGTCAGGAGCCGAGGCACTTTACTCCAAGGCGCGCCCCACCCAAGCCCCCGCCAACCCCCACCCCACCAGGGTTTAGGGTTTAGGGTTCAGGGTTTAGGGTTTAGGGTTTAGGGCTTAGGGCTGGCGCAGCCTAAACAGTTCGACTGACCTTCGACTCCGAACCCTGCAATCCGCCGACCGATCTCCATGTGTCGGGCACCCCCACATCGGGTTCGAAAGCCACTCCCCCTCCCCCCCCCCTCGCCCCTCGATAACAACCAATACTACAAGGAACCCGAAGCCCGACCCTAAACCCCAAACCCCTAAAACCTAAAACCCTAAACCCTCAGCTGAGGCTTTAGGGTTTTAAGCTCTTGAGGCCGACGCCAGTTCGTAAAAGGGAATTAGGGAAGGAGGAACATTGGCCTGCTAAACCCTAAACCCTAAACCCTAAACCCTAAACCCTAAACCCCGAAACCCTAAAGCCTAAAACCCTAAACACATAACCCTTGAAGGGGCTACATATCATGCTGTACAGGTGAAGTTGCCCACGATCCTCGACCGCCCCAAGTCCGGCCAAACACATACGAAGCCCTAAACCTTTGAAAGGCCCTGGGGTTTAGGGTTTAGGGTTTAGAGTTTAGGGTTTAGCACTGCATTGTTGATCTTGTAGCCCCAAACCCTAAACCCTAAACCCTAAACCCTAAACCTAAACCCTAAACCCTAAACCCTAAACCCTAAACCCTAAACCCTAAACCCTAAACCCTAAACCCTAAACCCTAAACCCTAAACCCTAAACCCTAAACCCTAAACCCCAAACCCTAAACCCTAAACCCTAAACCCTAAACCCTACACCCGACACCCTACACCCTAAACCCTAAAACCCTATACCCTATGGTTGATGAAGCATCCCAGATAAGCCCAACGTAGCGTTGACCATCGCTCTGGCCGCCTGAAGCTTTGCGAGTGCGGGCGCGGATCCGCGCTGTCTCCCTCCAGCGAAGAATATAACTTGGGTTTAGGGTTTAGGGTTTCCCCTAGTACTAACAGCTCCTTCATGGGGATTCTAGTAGGGGGTACGATAAATTACAATCCCTATTAAGGACTGTATTAAGGGGTAACAACCCAAATTATGACCAGCAAGTGCAGGTTTTTTCTGTCAGGCCTGCGCCTGGTTTAGAGAACTAGCTTCTCCGCCTGCGTCCTTCCTGTAGCTTCACGCGTGGCAATGCTTAAAAGCAGGCATGGCGGAGACGTCTGCTTTGCCGAAGATGCCGAAAGACACTAGAACGCGGTTGTACGGTTGTTGGGTTCGGGGTTTGGGGTTTGGGATTTAGGGTTTAGGGCTTAGAGCTAAAAACCCTAAACCCTAAACCCTAAACCCTAAGCCCTAAGCCCTAATCCCTCTCCTTGGAAGGTGCAGCAGGCCCTTGAGCGGAGCGGGCTGGACGTCGTGGTAGCTGAAGTTCGGAATGGCAACCAGGCCCCTCAGCCTCGACCCCAAGTCAAGGGCTCCCCATGCTACCCCTACTAACCCCCCCTCCTCGAGTTTAGGGTTTAGGGTTTAGGGTTTAGGGTTTAGGGTTTAGGGTTTAGGGTTTAGGGTTTAGGGTTTAGGGTTTAGGGTTTAGGGCTACTACCCCCCCTCTACCCCCCCTAGGTTCCTTAAAGGTGATTACGGGGGGTAGTAGGGGAACGCCTGATAAAGTCCGTAACGCTTTTGCACCTTGAAGGGCCCTCAGACCACCCTAGCCCCCCCCCCCCCCCCAAAAAAAAAAAAAAAAATCACCCCTTAAACCCTAAGCCCGAAACCCTAAACCCTAGACCCCAAACCCTAAACCCTAAACCCTCAAACCTCGGCCCTGGACCCTGGACCCTGACCGATTTGGGGCTTTCTCCCTCCCAAGCTTGGACTGTCCACAGTTGGCCCTCCAGGTTTCGCCAAGTCATTAGGTTTAGGGTTTAGGTTTCAGGGTTTAGGGTTTAGGGGGGTGTTGGGCAACCCTGAACGAGCACTACATCTCATTTGCACTTGATCTCAGCTACTTTTTGCTGAGGAACCCCTCAAAAATGCAAAAAGACGAGAATCCCTGCATCGCCCTTGTGAGGAAGAAGTAAACCCTAAACCCCAAAACCCAAAACCCAAAACCCAAAACCCTAAACCCTAAACCCTAAACCCTAAGCCCTAAACCCTAAGCCCTAAGCCCTTTTGGGGTTCGTTTCAAGGAAGCCGTAGCCTCAGGCGCTGGTGCCGGTGGACGAGTTTCTCGGCGACATCTTCCGGGACGGCGACGAGGCCGATCCCGACACCTGAGACCTTTGGTGCCCTTAGGGGTTTAGGGTTTTAGGGTTTTAGGGTTTTAGGGTTTAGGATTTAGGGTTTAGGGTTTAGGGTTTTGGGGTTTAGGGTTTAGGGTTTGGGGTTTCTTTGCCTTCAGAGCCTTTGTCTTGTGGGCTCCAGGGTGATGGTCAACGGCAAGGGGCAGGGTTTAGGCGTTGGGCTTTACCCCCTGGTTCTTAGTAGGGAATGAGGGAATGAGGGTCCTATATATACCCTTTAAGAGATTATGTAGGGCCCAGAAGCAGCCAGTTTACTTGGGTTCTGATGCTTTCAGGAGGCCAAATCCCACGGCACAAACATCAATGCTAGAACACATGTTCTCAGCTTAACATATTTCGGAATACAAGGCCCGCCCCCGCCCCCCCGTGGCGCACGGTGTGTGCGGAACATGTGACACACCCCTAGACCTGAACGGCTTAAATGTTGGGGATGTTCCCCCTTATACTAACAGTCCTTAACAGGGATTATACTAGGGGGGGGGGGGGGGTAGTAGAATCCCTACTGAGGACTGTTGGTATAAGGGGGAGCATCCCAAGCTGCACCCTACACCTTGCAACCACGGCTGCACACACAAAGCTACGACCCTGTTGAGAGCCAGGTGGTTGTTCCAGAACTGCTGGAATACCAGAGCAGAGAGACTGCAGAACCCCAACAGACGCCCCCAAGCCTCGTCCCTACATGCTGAACCGCGAAACCTGAATCCACCGGCCACGGAAAGAAGAACAAAATAGAATACACAGCAATACGAAACAACAATGGAGACGTGAAAGAGACATGCGAACGTAACAGGCACTTTTTTGCACATAGCATGTGTTTTCGGTGAGTCTAACTCTAAGTAAGCTCTGTGTGTGAAGGTGCATATATGGTGAGTTCTCTAAATGAGGGTCCCTGTTTGGTTACCCTAATAAGAGGGGCTGCCTTGTAATAGGGATTTTGACAGGGACCATAACTTAGAGAAATCCTCATATGGGAGTGTTCGAAAATAGCGGACCCCAAAAAGATACCCCCAAATAGTAGGATTCCCTGACAATGAGGACCCCAAAAAGGCACCCCTAGTATCGGAAACCCTAAGCCCTAAACCCTAAACCCTAAACCCTAAACCCTAAACCCTAAACCCCAAACCCTGAACCCTAAACCCTAAACCCTAAACCCTAAAGCCCCATGTGTTTTCAAATGGAAGCTTACTCCGGATCGGAGGTCTTAGTCCTTCTGCAAGCGGGCAGCGGACAGCGGCTGCAGGTCTCTTTTTTTTTCTTGGGGGGCGGGGTTTAGGGTTTAGGGTTTAGGGTTCAGGGTTCAGGGTTCAGGGTTTAGGGTTTAGGGGGGGGGGCAGGGGGGCAGTGGTCTCGCCTTGTTTAGGGTCGAGCCTCCTTTGAAGCTCAAGCTTGAGGCGCTAACACTCTCGTTCGGCAATTTGTTCTAGCATCCGAGACGCTCTACCATCCACCAGAGGAACGAGAGTGCACTAAAGAACCATCAGCCCTAAACCCTTAAACCCCAAGCCCTAAACCCTAAGCCCAACAAGCCCGTGCCGACGAAGCACTCTTCTTGGGGTATGCTTCGAGGTAGGTTGCCTTCAAGACGCTTTCAAGAGTCCCCAGGATGGAAGATTCAAGGGAAGTTAGAGATAGGGCTTCTAATCGTCCCTTAGCACAACATGAGCTTGTGCCCGCGAGGTAGCCCACTCAAAGCCCCAGATCCATCTATTCCTGAACCAAGGGTATTGCCTAGACCCGAAACCCTGAACCCCGAACCCTAAACCCTGAACACCCAGACTCGTATCACCCTCAAACCCCCAATGCCCCCAATCCCCCACCCCCCCCCCCCCCCCCCCTCAGACCCGCAAAACCTCGTTCCCCATAACCCCTAGGACCCTGGGCCCTAAACCTAGATCCCAAGCCCAAACCCCATAAGTCCAAAATGTAGGCGTCGGAACTCCTTAGGGCTATGTAATCCCCCTCCCAAAGCCTGTTCAAATGATTCAGGCCCTTGATTAAGCCCTCTAAGCCCTACAAGTTGCTCCATAACCTGAACCCTAAGCCCTAAGCCCTAAACCCTAAACCCTAAACCCTAAACTCTAAACCCTAAACCCTAAACCCTAAACCCTATAAGTTGCCATAAGCTCTCTAAGTTGCTCTGAGCCCTAGAAGCCCTCCACGCCTCAGTCAACGGTTCGCCCGACCTTGCGGCCTGCCGTTCCCCTGCCTGCCGCCGATGCCGCTGGCGGCCTCAGGCTGCGGGACGTGGAGTTAAGGGGTGCAGGTTGGGGCATGCTTTGGGTTTAGGGTTTAGGGTTTAGGGTTTAGGGTTTAGGGTTTAGGGTTTAGGGTTTAGGGTTTAGGGTTTAGGGTTTAGGGTTTAGGGTTTAGGGTTTAGGGTTTAGGGTTTAGGGTTTAGAGTCAAGGGTTTAGGTTTTAGGGTTTAGGGTTTAGAGTTTAGGGTTTAGGGTTTAGGGTAGGGTTTAGGGTTCAGGGTTCAGGGGTTCAGGTTTTGGGATGTTCTCCCTTGTACTAACAGCTCCTTACTAGGGATGATCATAGGGGGTACCACAATCCCTACTAAGGGCTGTTAGTACAAGGGGGAACATCCCAAGGTTCAGGGTTTGAGGGTTTAGGGCTTAGGGCTTAGGGCCTTAGGGCTTATATAGGGCTTAGGGCTTATATAGGGCTTAGGGCTGAGGGCTTAGGGTTCAGGGCTTAGGGCTTAGGGGCCTTAGGATGAAGGACTTAGGGTTTTTGGCTTAGGGCTTTTAGGATCTCGGGTTTGGGTCTGAAGTCTGCTGCAGATGGTGTGTTTTCAGCTTCTTGCTCTTGTTCTTCAGGGTTCAGGGTTTAGGGTTTGGGGTTTGGGGTTTGGGGTTTAGGGTTTAGGGTTTAGGGTAAACTTATCTCTTGTGATTCGTGTTCGGGTTTGGGGATGTTGCCCCGTTCTCCTCAAGGCCCTTCCGGTTTGAATTCAAGGAGAGCATTCCCCAGAATTAGGGGACTCTGCGGCCTCTGGCTTGGCGGCGGTTTTGGAGCTTAGGGCTTCAGGCTTTTGGGCTTCTAGGGCTTTAGGGTCTTAGGGTGATAGGCCCTGAACCCCAAGTGGCTAGCAAGAGCCTTCCTCCCCTTAAAGGGGAATCGGCCCTTCACTTGCCGGGTAGGGAAAGTTTAGGGTTTAGGGTTTAGGGTTTACAGTTTTTAGGGTTTAGGGTCTAGCTCGCCATATGGGGGTTTAGGTTTAGGGTTTCCGAATATACGGGGTACCTTGTTGGGGTCCTCTTAGCCCCTAATAGAACCTTGCTCCCATGTGAAGGCTTGTTGACGCTTGTTTTGCCCTGTCAATCTAGGGGTGCCTTTTGGTTCAGGGTTCAGAGGTTCAGGGTTTAGGGCGAGTCCTTGACAAAACTCATGGTTACGAAGTTAAGCCCCAGAGTCCCTACCAAGGACCGGTTTGTTTAGGGTTCTGGGTGCAGGGTTTGGGGTTGGACCCCAAAAATCCCGCCTCAACCGTGCCAAAGCCGCCAGCAGAGGAGAGATCTCGATGGCCCTCCGCAGGCACTGCAGGGGTTAGGCATTAGGGTTCAGGGTTTAGGGTTTAGGGTCTTGGGTAGAGGGTTTAGTGTTTAGGGTTCAGGGTATCGTGTCTAGGGTTCAGGGTTTCATTTGGGTCTACTTGAAGGTTCATGGGTGGAAATCTTTGCCTTGTTTCATGTTATTGTTCACTTTCTTTCTTCTCTTTTACTCCACTATTATGGGCTCTAAGATACTCTAGAAACCCGAAACCCTAAACCCTAAACCCTAAACCCTTAACCCTTAACCCTTAAACCCTAAACCCTAAACCCTAAACCCCAAACCCTAAACCCTAAACCCTAAACCCCAAACCCTAAACCCTAAACCCTTAAGCCGAAGCTCCCTTCTTGCTAGTGATGGGGACGGCTCGCAGGAGGTGTCGCGCCTCAGCTGCCACGCGGCGCCCCTTGGCTCAGAAGACCGATTTGGGCTTAGTGCCTCGGGGTCGGGTCAAGTGTAGGGTTTAGGGTTTAGAGTTTAGGGTTTAGGGTTTAGGGTTGTAGGGTTGTAGGGTTGTAGGGTTTAGGGTTTAGGGTTTAGGGTCTAGGGTTTAGGGTTTAAGGTTGTAAGCTACAAGCCCTATGTACATAGGCCTTTTGTGTGTGCACGTGGTCCCCTAAACCCTAAGCCTTAAGCCCTAAACCTAAAACCCCAAACCCCAAACCCTGAACGTTTTCCTTACAAGGTGGTGCCCTTCTGCTGCCCTCATGAACCTGGGTTTAGGGTTTAGGGTTCAGGGTTTAGGGTTTAGGGTTTAGGGTCTGTGCTACGTAACCACACAAAATGGCACCCTGATTCTGCTTCGGTCGCTGCGGCTCTTAGAACTGGCAGCCTGCATGAGCCCGACGACGGTCTAGGGTCTAGGGTCTAGGGTCTAGGGTCTTGGGTCTAGGGTCTAGGGTCTAGGGTTTAGGGTCTAGGGTCTAGGGTCTAGGGTCTAGGGTCTAGGGTTTAGGGTTTAGGGTCCAGGGTCTAGGGTCTAGGGTCTAGGGTTTAGGGTTTAGGGTTTAGGGTCTAGGGTTTAGGGTTTAGGGTTTAGGGTTTAGGGTTCAGGGTTCAGGGTTTAGAGTTGAGGGTCCCGTTTCCTCCGGGACGAAACCCTATATTAACCCGAAGACAGACTTTCAGGCCGACCACGCAAAGTACCAGGCACGACTTCCCGGTCGCTTGACTGCAGACCTGAAACAGCCGGCTTGGGAATGGGGTTTAGGGTTTAGGGTTAGGGTTTAGGGGTGCGGGTCAGGGGTTTTGGGTTTAGGGGCTTGTATGGTAGGGTGGTAGGGTTGTTCAGGGTTATGCGCTTTGGGTTCGGGGTTTAGTTTGTCATTTGCTTCATCCCCCTTTCCCTGATATTGAACCTGCCCCCAATGCCCCCCCACCCCCACCCCCGAAGGTTAGACATTCTCATTCGAGTTCATACCCTAAAGCCTAAACGCCTCAGCCCTGAAAGCTTCAGAACGCCCCCCCCCCCCCTCCCAAGTGCCACACCTGCGGGCCTGAAAGGCTCCCGGCCCCCCTGGATGTCCGGGGTTTCGATTGCCCCCGCCGGATCCCACAGTTTAGGGTTTAGGGTTTAGGGTTTAGGGTTTAGGGTTCAGGGTTCAGAGTTAGGGCTTAGGGTTTAGGGTTTAGGGTATAGTGGTCCAAAGCTGCAGGTCATTGCCACCGTGGAGGATCGTCGTGGCAGGCCCACACCTCATATGGCGTTGTGAGATGTTTGGAGTTCTAGGGCTTTGGTTGAGGGCTTAGGGTTTAGGGTTTAGGGTTTAGGGTTCAGGGTTTAGGGTTTAGAGTTCGGGGTTCAGGCGGACCGACTCGGAGCTGCACCCAAGGCCCCAAGTGCCAAGCACCATTGAAACCCTAAACCGGCCTAAACCCTAAACCCTAAACCCTAAACCCTAAACCCTAAACCCTAAACCCTAAACCCTAAACCCTAAACCCAAAACCCTAAACCCCAAACCCTAAACCCTAAACCCTACACCCTAACAGGGGTCAAGTCGGCAGGACCATGCCCGTCACCGCGCACGTGACCTTGCCACCCCAGGTGGGACATAGGGTACTTAAAGGATCACTTAGTAAGTGGGGGTTTAACTAGGGCAACTATAACTACAAATACTTATAATCCCAATTAGGGTACTTATAACCCTACTTACGAAGTCCCATGGTCCCCCAAGTAGTTTCGTGTTTGGGGTTCAGGGCTTTTGGAGCCTTGAGGTTTAGGGCTTAAGGGTTAGGATTGGGATGTTCACCCTTATACTAACAGTCCTTAATAGGGTTTAGAGTAGGGGGTACTCGAATCCCAATTAAGGACTGTTAGTATAAGGGGGAACATCCCAAGTTTAGGACAAACCCCGCCCCCTTCCGCCATTCTCTTAATCCTCAGATGCTTCTCAGATGCTGTGCAACACAAAGCGCGTTGTTTTTTCATGATTGGTAGTGTGTCAGGGTGCAGGGCTTAGCCCAAAGAATTGCCGAGGTTTAAGTTCTACTTAATGCCCGGCATGTTTGGCGGTCACTAGTTCAAGTTTGGCATGCAGTGTCTGGTCGCCTGCCTAAACCCCAATCCTACAGTCCCTTTAAACCCTACAGTCGAAACCCAAAAGATTAGGTTCCGCAGCACCCTAAAGCCTTAACCCTACACCCTAAACCCTACGCCCTAAACCCTAAACCCGAAACCTTAAGTGAAGCACCGGCATTTGGGGATGCAGAAGACTGCTCATGGAAGCCTCACCCCGACCCCTGGTGGTTCAGGGGGATCCCGAATGCCTACTACAACCTCTCACCCTAAGCTGCACAAGCCCAAGCCCCAAAACCTACACGTCTGAACCCCAAAACCCTGACTCCCAAACCCTAAACCCTACCGCAAAACCACTGTGAACCCGGCAACCAAAATATCCGGCCTACCCCGTAACCCCCTAAAAAATAGGGTTTAAGGGATAGGGTTAATCTAAGCTTGGAACCATGGGCCCTTCGCCCTTTTTGAGTTGGCTACTCTCGCCCCAAGCCCTGCGCCCTAAACCCTAAGCCCTAAGGTTTAGGGTTTAGGGTCTGGGGGTGAGGCCCGGGTTGATTTGGGGTTTACGAATCAGGGACCCCTTAGGGTTTAGTGTTTAGGGTTTAGGGTTTACGGTTTAGGGTTTACGAGAATGAGGGACCCCGAATATAGTCCCCAAATCGTAGGGTTCCCTCATATTATAAGGCTTATAATAAGGACCCCAATAAGGTACCTACACCCATTTGGATATTTGGTGGCGGTTTCCTTTGTAGTGCTGCCCAGTCAGGTGATTGACGATGAGTCGGATGATGAGGAGCAGACTATGCCGGGTTCAGGGTTGAGGGCCGCGGGTTTCGGGTTTAGGTGTAGGGTTCAGAAGGCGCAGGGGACATGTTGGGATGTTCCCCCTTGTACTAGCAGTCCTTCGTAGGGATTGTAGTACCCCCAATCTATAATCCCTATGAAGGACTGCTAGTATAAGGGGCAACATCCCAAGGGGAATGCTCTAGACCCGAAACCCTAAACCCTAAACCCTAAACCCTAAACCCTAAACCCTAAACCCTAAACCCTAAACCCTAAACCCTAAACCCTAAACCCTAAACCCTGAACCCTGAACCCTGAACCCTGAACCCTAAACCCTAAACCCTAAACCCTAAACCCTGAACCCTAAACCCTAAACCCTAAACCCTAAACCCTAAACCCAAAGCCCTAAACCCCTTACACCAGAAAGCTACCAGTAGCGACGGCTTCTGGTTGGTATGGGGCTTTAGGTCCCAGACCGGGCCTGGGCTAACGAAGGGTAGGGAGCAGGGAAAGTTTAGGATTTAGGATTTGGGGTTTGGAGTTTAGGGTTTAGGGTTTAGGGCTAGGGTTTAGGGCTAGAGTTTAGGGTTTAGGGTTTGGGGCTTTGGGTTTAGGGTTTGGGGTGCGAAACTTTTTGTAGGCAGATGCCAGCTATGATGGCCATGGGCGTCTGCATCCCGAAGCAAAAGCTTGGAAGTGGGCTTTAGGCACCCTAAGTCCTCAACCCTCAACCCTCAACCCTCAACCCTCAACCCTCAACCCACAACCCTAGACCCTAAACCCCAAACCCTAAAACCCCCCAAACCCCAGACCCTCATCCCTGAGCCCTAAACCGTATACGAGAAATGTTTGTTATTTCCTAAAGGACCCTAAAGAATTTCGACTTTCTTCTCTATACATGAAGTCGGCTATTCTGTACGGGATTTACATTCCCATTAAGTAGGCCTCCGTCCTCGCCCATCTTTACTCACACAGCATGCCATTGCGACGAGCAGCGCCAAGAAAATCAGATAGAGGTTTGGGACTCCTTAAGCTTCCTAAACCCTAAACCCTAAACCCTAAACCCTAAACCCTAAACCCTAAACCCTAAACCCTAAACCCTAAACCCTAAACCCTAAACCCTAAACCCTAAACCCTAAACCCTAAACCCTAAACCCTAAACCCTAGTAGTAGAGTAGGTAACCTTTCACCTTTTGTGGCGCAGTGCAAGACAAGGGCGAGTTGCTACGCTTGCCAAGTCGGCAGAGGAGATGGACACCAATGTGTTCACTGCGATGCAAGAGCGGAAGTATGCAAAAGGCTATATTCCGTGTGCTGCTTGCAAGAAGTACAACGATCACAAGCGCATGATCCAGTCCAAGGCGCACCATCGCGCGCCCAGCGAGAAGGAGCTGGAGATTGGCTGGTCTCGGGATGTGCCTGTTTACCTGAAGGTGTGCGCTAGTTGTTGCCACACGCAGGTGTGCAAGCTTCTGGCGGACCCGCGTCGTGCTGATCTGGTTAAGGAGGACTTCAAGCAAGAGCCGACGTTGCGGGAGATTTGTTTCATGATTAGTCAGATTGAGGCTGGTGGTATAATCCCCTTGTAATCCCAAAGTTTAACCTTTCATTCCCCCAGGTTACAGGACTCTTGAAGCTTCAGGTTCCTGATGGCTTCCTTATGCAGTGGGAATATCAAGTTTAACCCTTTTTATTCCTTGGTGATTGCAGAAGTAAGAATTGGGTGTAGTGATGTTGACACATAAGAAGCATAACGTTCAGAGGGGCAGGAAGAACAGCTGAGTAAATCCTCATCCTCGAAGCCCTAAGGGCCCTAGACGCCCGAAACCCTAAACCCTCAACATCACAAGCCCGGTATCGCTGGCCTGGCTAGGCCCTCTGTACCTAAAGCCGTTTGAGTTACCGGTTCTTAGCAGGGAACTGAGGAAATTCGCTACATAATTTAATGAGAGTCATGCTAATCCCATAGGAGCCTGAGCCCTAAACCCTAAAGCCTAAACTCGAAACCATACACCCGCATGCCTGCGCAGTACTATGCCGACGACGGAGTCTTAGCCCCTGCAGAAGAGGCTGGAGGGGATTCCCACAGCTCTTTTGAGGGTTTACCCCAAACCCTAAACCCTAAACCCTAAACCCTAAACCCTAAACCCTAAACCCTAGACCCTAAACCCTAAACCCCGGGCATCTGGTTTAAAAAGCGCTGAAGCCCTGAAGCCGTGAACCACAGAAGCCCTAAAGCCCACAAAGGCTGAAGCCGTAAAGTCCTAACTCCCAAATCCCCAAAGTCCTAAAGACTAATGGCCCTGAACCATGAGTTTTAAAGCCCTAATACGGGAGTCTAATTAACCATCAACATTTATCCAGCCGCCTGAGCCCTACTTGGAGGCTCATGGTACTTATGAACCAAGTACAACTGTGCTTATAACCCACTTTTTTAACCCCCTAAGTGCCCTAATATGCTTATAAAACTTATAAGTATAGTTCTAAGTACAGTTATAATTGGTTAATAAGTACCATGAACCTCCAAGTGCATTCCTTGAAAGCTCGACAGCTTGCATTCAAAAACATTCAGAGTGCCCGATGGCACTTCCTTTGAATCATATGCCTCAGTTCTGGGTCGAACGCTCGATTTGTAGTCTTAAAGTTTTTCCTTTGAGCCCACATACGTCCAATTTTCCACCCCCCCTTCTTCCCCGCCTTCCCCCCGCTCTTCCCCTTCCCCCCCTTCCACCCCCCTCCTCACCCTTAGTTCTCTAAACGCGGTATGGCACCCTTGAAAAGAAGGACCCCAAAAAGTGACCCGTTTTAGGGTTCAGGCTTCGAAAGGCGAACTCTGGCAGTAAACTCGTGCTGGACTGGGAAGCCTAAGCTCTAAACCTTAAACCCCAAACCCCTAAGCCCAGCCTTAAACTGCCGAAACCCCCAACACCCTCTAGGGTTTAGGGTTTAGGGTTTGGGGTTTAGGGTTTAGGACTTAGGGTTTAGGAGCCCTAAACGCTAAACCCCAACCGGTTACCCTAACCCTGAAACTCAAGGGATTAAGACTCGTACCCCCTCAGGTTGCAGCCCTAAAGCTTCCTAAGGTGAAACTACCTTCAGGATCTTTAGAACGGCTCCCCCAAACCCAAGGTTACAACCTTCAGGGTCCAAGGTACAGACCCCTAGAGAAGCAGAACCCCCTGGTTCTTAGCAGGGAATTCGGGCCCTACATATACCTTTAAGGGAGCCTATATGGTGTACCTCATTCCCTCATTCCCTACTAAGAACCAGCCAGATAAACCCTAAACCCTAAACCCTAAACCCTACACCCTAAACCCTTAACCCTGAACCCTAGGCCCTAAGCCCTAAACCCTAAACCCTAAACCCTAAACCCTAAACCCTAAACCCTAAACCCTAAACCCTAAACCCTAAACCCTAAAC